CACTAGTTCGAAAAAATGTATGTATCCCCATGTTCGTTGTTTGACAGGATAGTAAGAAGCTAGGAAAATTCCTGAGCAAGTGGAATAGGGAAACTGAGACAAGAAAATTAAACAAGGCCAAACATTTGAGCAACATACTGCCGGCCAGTGAATCGCAAGGCCTTGCCTCTCCTAAACAAGGAAACTTGAGAACAAATGGCTTATGCCTTATACCTTTCCTCCCTAACCAGATAATACATAACTCAAATCACCCTGCTCTGGGAAAATAGAGAACAGAGACCCAATTAATGCCATTTGTGCCAGCTAAACCCAAGTACAGATGAAGTCAGGGGAACAAATAACAAAAATCCCATTAGAGCCAGACAGACCCAAGATAAAAGTAAAACAGTACAGCAGACCAAAGACTATCCCCCAGCACCACCCCCTACATGCCCATTTTGATGCATCAGCATATTAAAAACACACCTGGAAAGCTAATACATATTCTGCTGAAACCCTCCCCTAAGATTCTCACCTATAGAAAAGAGATAAATATCCTCAGGACAAAGACTCAGGGTGGGCTTGTTCATGGGCATGAACCTTTCACTTTCTCTTAAGCTAAGGGTCCCCATGAGAACTTGCAGCAAGGGGAGCAGTGGGCAGCGGCAGCTCAACCTGGGCTAACCCCCTGATCTCGTCCCCAAGGCCCCCTTTTTTCTGACTTCCCAGGGGGCTCACAGCAGCCCCGCCTTGGCTCTCTCCTTTCCTACAACTTCTGCTAGGATCCCAGAGCAGAGCACCGCCTAGGCCCTCTCCTGTTACTCCTTCCACCCTAAGGCCTTCCTCTGTTTCACTGTCCCCAGTTTTAAGAACCATATTCTCAAAACCACCTGGACTTGTACTGTGAAATCTTTCCTGCATGGAATCAAGAACCCACACACTACGGGCCGTCTGGACGCAGGCCTGCTCTAAGCCAGTTGCTGTCCTGTAACAACTGCAGCATTATTTACAATAACCAAAATATGGAAGCAATCTTAGTGCCCAAGAATAGATGAATGGATAAAGAAGATGCGGTGCCTATGTATAGTGGAATATTACTTGCCCATTAAAAAGAAATGAAATCTTACCACCTGCAACAACATGGATGGACCTAGAGGGTATTATACAAAGTGAAATAAATCCAACAAAGACAAATACCATATGATTTTACTAATATGTGGAATCAAAAAAATCAAAATAACAGATTTGAAAAAAACAGAAATGTACTCATAGATACAGAGAGCAAACTGATGGTCTCCAAAGGAGAGGGGGTTGGGGGCTGGGTAAAAAAGGTAAAGGGATGAAGAAGTACAGATTGGCAGTTACAAACTGCTGCAGGGATGTGAAGTACAGTATAGGGAATATACTCAATAATATTGTAATAACTATGTAGGTGGCCACTAGAATTACCAGGGGGATCACTTTGCAAGTTATATAAATGTCTAACCACTATGCTGTATACCTAAAACTAATACGATGTTGAATGTCAACTAAAATTGAAAAATAAAATAAAATAAAAATCTGGCAGTTCTTCCTGGAACTGATGCATGCCCCTGCATGTTTCTCATAAGCTCTCTTTATGGAAACACAAGCAGGTTTTGTTCCTTGCTACCAAATGGCTCCTGTTTAACCAATATGTGCAAAATCGGACAAAGGCAACGTGACTATGGTGAAAACAAGAAGCCAGGTCTCAGATGGACTCCCATCCTGGAGGGGCCCCACTGCCTGCACTGGGTAACCCCAATGGGACAATGACCTTGGGAGTAATCTGGGGCCAATCCTTACCTGTGCCGCAAAAATCCCTGGCTGTTGTGGTAGCTGGTGTCTGAAACGGCCTCTGTGAAGAGCCACGTCTTTCAGTAAAGCATGGTGCCTGAGCGGGTGAAGCCAGATTGTCACGGCTGGACACCTGGGTCTGTCCTTGACTAGTCCTGCAACTGGTCAAGTCATTCCACTCAGAGGTCAGCATGTGGCTTCTGTAAAAAGCCAGATAATAAATATTTTACGTCTTACAAGCCCTAGGGTCTCCATTACATCCCTCCTCTCTGCTGTGATAGCATGAATACAGCCATAGAGAATGTGTGTCAGCATGGCCATGTGCCAAGAAAACTTTATTTAAGGACACTGAAATTTGGATTTTATGTAACTTTTATTTGTCACAGAGTCTTCTGGGGCAGAAACAGCCTCTCCTCTGTACCATATTCTAATTTCCAGCCCACATAATGCATGAACACAATAAAATGTTTGTTGTGAGATTATAAATATATACGTGTATTAAATGTGCATATAGGTATGTGTGTGTGTGTGTGTGTGTGTGTGTATCTGCCCCAATATTTATATACATACGTCTCTTCTGGCACAGAGCTCCTCACCCCTTATAAATTCCTAAGTGATAAGAGCACTAGGAGCATCTCTTACTCTAGTGAGGAGACCCCAGGTGGGCTCCTGGATGGGACTGCTCACCCGAAAGACCAAGCCACGAGTAGAAGCTTGGCGTTTTCAACCAGTCTTCCCAACCTCTGCTTCTTCAGAGAGGGGAGAGGGGCTGGAAGTGGAGTTAATACTGGCTCATGCCTATGTGAGGAAGCCTTCATAAAATCCCAATAGTATACAGTTCGGAGAGCTTTCAGGTGGATGGACGCATCCACAGCAGGAGGTTGATGCACCCCAACTCCGCGGGGACAGAAGTTCCTGTGCCCAGACTTCGCCCTGTGTATGTCTTCGTCTTTCATCTGTATTATCATATCCTGTAATAAGTTGATAAATGTGTTTTCCTGAGTTCCATGAACCACTGTAGCAACTTAATCAAACCTGGGGTGGGGGTCACTGGAGCCTCTAATCTGCAGCTGGTTGGTCGGAAGCACAGGGGACATGAACTTGTGACAGGGCGTCTGAAGTATGTGTGAAAGGGGGGTGGGCAGCCTTGTGGGACTGAGCCCTTAACCTGTGGTGCGAGATATTAGCTCCAGAGCTGAGAGCAATTGTGAGACACCCAGATGGTGGGGGAAACGTGCCTGTTGTGGTGGGAAAAAAACTCCACACATTTGGTAACCCAGAATAAAATGTTCTGTGTAAAAGTAAAGGAAGCACAGACGGGAAGAAATGCACGATGAGGAAGTACCGAGTGTTCCCCTACATAGCTGTTTTACATAGTTATGTTTCTGGGTGGTATCTATTATAGTAACTGGGCCCCAATCAAGAAACATGGAGTTCATGAAGAGCCCTCCTTCTTCATTCCCCAGGGCCATCCAGTCTCCAAGGCCATCAGCTAAGCCTGGACAATCCCTCCCAAAACCACACTTCCTCTCTGTTACACTATTCCTGACCTGGGTAACCCTTCAACAGCTTCACCTTGATCCCTTGCAATATCCTCTACTCTAAGATCTCTGCCTCCAATTGGGAACATTCTCAAATCCATCTCTTTGCAGGAATCAAGAACTTCTTTTTTACCCCCTGAAGAACAGACTCAACAAGTCCCTGTCCTGCTTACGCGGCTTTTCATTTACTTGAAGAGAAGTTCCAAGTCCTTCCTGTAGCATTCAAGACCCACTACGCAATGAGTCCAGTCACCTTCTACAGAGTCACCACTTGCTGCTCTCTGCCTCATCCTGTGCCCCAACGGCCCAGTGCGACCCATTTATTGGCCCACTCCTGTGCGCTTTCACTCCCCTCTGCCTGGAATGCAATTCTCTTTCTCCTCTTTACCCAAGTCATATTCTGATGGTACTTACAAGCTCAGAAAAGGCTCATCTCTTCAGACTCACAGATTATCACTTCCGGGAGCAGAAGCCCAGGGAATCATTCTTGGTGATGGTGTTGGGTGAAGAGTCCTCTCTCTCTGTTCTCGGTTACCATGTCTTTTACCTCCACTGTGGTAGAAAAAGAAACATATTTGGCCTTTGTCCCAGGCTCTTGGGACAAGGCTCAAACCCTTGCAATTTCCTGAGTGATAGAAGTGTCTTATTTTATTTATGAGGAGCCCCTTTTGATCACATCAGGATTTTTGCTAATGAGGTGAGTTAAGGTGGACCCTTAGGTAGCCTTAATGGGACCAAGTGTTAAAGCTTTGGCAGTTTAAGCTTCACACACCAGCTTCTGGGAAGGGGAGGTGAGAGAGAGGCTGGAGACTAGGCTTTATAAATACTCTTCAACAATGAGATTTGATGATCTTCTAAGTTAGTGGACACATCAAGGTATAGGGAGGGTGGTGCCCCGCTGAAAGAACATGGAAGCTCTGTGCACACACATCCCCCATACCTCTTGCCCTGTGGATCTCTTCCATTTGGCTGTTCTTGAGTTGTATACTTTAACTGGTAAACATATGTAAATTGTCCTCCGAGTTTCTATGATCCATTCTAGCAGATTAGCAAATCTGAGGACAGGGTAAGGGCAGTGCTTGACTTATAGATGCTCAGTAAGAAATACAGTTGGCAACCTTGGACTTACAATTGCCACCTCAAGTGAGAGCAGCTTTATGGCACTGAGCCCTTCACCTTGTCGGATCTGGACCTAATTCCAGCTAGACAGTGTCAGACTGAATTGAGTTGTAGAACAATTCAGGTTCACAGAGAACTGGAGAATTTCTTGGTGTAGAACAAACCCACATATTTGGTGTCAGAAGTGTTGTGTGAGAGGAAAACAAGTTTTTGTTTAACCATCATTTCTGTTTTTTCTTGCATGCCCCTAATTCTTTTCAACTCAGTAATTGTTTCTTTTATTTTCCTGAATATCTGAAAGAAAGGGGGACTAAACACCCAGCATTCATGACCCCAGACATTTACAGGACTGAACTTCCTCTCTCCTACAGAAGCGGGGAGGGGAGGGGAATATTCAGGCATTAAGTTTCTAAGAATAGTATGCTGACAGTATATCGAGAATGCTTTATGGAACTTGTAAGATGCTCTGAGTTTCTGTCACCTGATTGATTCAAGTCCCATTGTCCCTTCCCACTGGCCTTCAATAAAGTATCTATTGAAGCCCCTCCAGGCTGAGTTAGTCCAGAGGAAGGCAAGAACTGGCCCAGTAACGGGATTTCAGCTGACAGTAAGTTCCATGCCTGACAATTTAAAAATTATTTGAACATCTGCTATATGACAGATACCTTCTGAACTCTAGAGTTAGGCTGCTCAGTAAGAATCAACTTGCCACATTTGGTTACTGAGCTCTTGCTAGTCTGACCTTAGAGGGCTGTAGTCAGAAATGAATTTAGTTATTTGAGACTTAGTACAAAAAAGAATAGGAAATAGCTCATTGATAATTCTTATTTAGTCACATGTTCCAACTATGTTCTTTTTGACATGTTGGGTCAAGTAAAAATACTATTAAAATTAATGTATTATTAAAATTAATTTCTTTTAATTTTTAAAAACTGGTAAGTCACATATGTGGCTTGCATTTATGGCTTGCATTTATGTTTTTATTGGACAGTGTTACTGTAGAAATATAGCACTGAAAAAACTTAGTAGTCTTTGGAGCATGTGTACTAATGTGGAGGGTATTTAGAATTAAAAATATAAGTGGAAAAATAAATAAGAACAGAACCTGATGAGATAGGCTGTACCTGGGGTAGCATTGTGGGTCAGGAAGAAATTTTCTGAGGACATAATATCTAAACTGAGGTAGGAATATTCAGAAAGAACCAGATGTAGGGAGTTTGAAAGAAAAAGCATTGGATGCAAAAGAAAGAGAGGATGCAAAAGCCCTGAAAAGGCAATGAGTCTGGCATGTTTAAGAAATGGAAGGAACTCAGTGTGGATCCATTGCAGTGTGTGAGAGGGCAGTGGGTGCGTGAGTCCACAGGACAGATTTAGGAGGGCTTGGTAAGCTTGAACTAGGAGTTCAGGAGCCTTTGGAAGGTGTTGAGCAGAACAATGTTATGGTATGATTAACAGTTTTTATTGTTTGTTTTTTTTTTAATTTTTAAATTGCTTTTCAATTACAGTCGTCCCCATTTTTCCCTATTGCTTTCCCATGTCCTGCCCCCGCAGTCAATCCTCCCCACCATTGTCCTCCACGGGTCCTTTATACAAGTTCCTTGACTTGACGTTTCCCCTTCTTTCCCCCATTATCTTCCTCCTTCCTCTAATCGCTGTCAGATTGTTCATTTCCACGTCTCTGGTTCTATTTTTCTCACTTGTTTGTTTTGTTAATTAGGTTTCACCTACAGGTGGGATCATACAGTATTTGTCTTTCACCCCCTGGCTTATTTCACTTAGCATAATACTCTCTGGTTCCATCCATGCTGTCGTGAAGGGTAGGAGTGCCTTCCTCTTTTCTGATGTGTTGTATTCCATTGTGCAAATGTACCACAGTTTTTTGATCCACTCATTTACTGATGGACATTTGGGTTGTTTCCAGCAATTGGCTATTGTAAATAACACTGCTATGAACACTGGGGTGCATAGGTTCTTTTGAATTGGTGTGTCTGGATTCTTAGGGTATAATCCAAGCAGCAGAATCACCAGGTCAAAAGGCATTTCCATTTTTATTTTTTTGAGGAAACTCCATACTGTTTTCCACTGTGGCTGCACGAGTCTGCATTCCCACCATCAGTGTACTAGGGTTCCCTTTTCTCCATATCCTCGTCAGCACTTGTGATTAACATTTCTAAAATTTTATTTGTCTTATGTCTGCAGAACAGATTGTGGGGGCAGCTTAATTGCCAAAAACAAAGCTATTTGCAAGGTTAATGCAAATGAACAGCCAGACAAGAGCCTTCAACTAGGGTAGAGGTGATAAAAAATGATTGCAGGTGTCAGCTTAGTTGCTTTATAGATAGAATTGATTGACTTGGATTGGATTGGATGGCCAAGGAAAGGGAAAACAAGGATAAGAGTTAGATTTGGAAGTTTAACAATTGAATGTGTAGGCTCCAAATAGAAACAGAATATTGAGAGTGGACAACATGAATGGATGGAAGAATTAAGAGTTTGGTTTAGGCAGTGGTAGGTTTGGAGTGCCTATGGGACTCCTATGGAGAGATATCAAGAGTCAGTTGGTTATGTATCAGGCTAGAACTGTGGGGAGAAGCCAAGACTGATTACATGAACCAGAAGTTATCAGCACAATATTATAAACCATGGGACTGGATGACATTACTTATGAAACAAGTAGAGGATAGGGAGAGGTAGGGACATGACCTGGAACACCTAACATTTATAATTAAATATAAAGGAGAAAAAGCAATACGATGGAGATGAGGTGGCTATAAAGACAACCAAGAGTGTGTTCTGTGTGCATTTTATCATCTAAAGGCATAAGAAAATGTGTTTTTAGAGAAAGGAAGGGGTTTATGGGTCCACGTCACTGAGTTATCTGGGTAAGAACTGGGAAGGCACCCCCTGGAGCAGTGACATGGAGGTCATGGGCATCCTTCAGGGGGCCACAGCCCATGGGGTGCTCAGGACCCACGTCAGTTTGCGGCGAGTTTAGGAGAAAAGGTGAGGTGACAAGTGGAGACACTGCCTTCTAGCTTTGGCTGTGAATCCCCTTCACTGAGAGAATTTTCTTGCAACAACACAGCTGAAGCTGGAAGGGAACATCTGCCAAGGACAGTTTCCTTGTGAAGGGAGGGGAGATGATTATGGCTATGTGATAGAATGATCTAGTAGAAAGACAATCTTGGGGATGTTTTGGCAGAAAAGAAAAGTGATCCCACAGGAGAAAAATTAGAAAAATTCTTGGGAAGGTGAGGGAGAGAGGGATCCAGAGCAAACATGAAGGGGGAAGGACCAAGGACTCTGGGTTCACCGTAACAGGTGCAGAGAAATGGGAGAGTTGGGGAGAGAGAAAGTTACAACAAGGTTCACAAACAATTTTTACTATTTTCTCATTAAAATATGAGGTAGGGGCATCGGCTGAGAGCAGGAATAGGGAGGAGGTTAAGAATTTGGAGGAGAAAGCAGAACTGAAGCAATTACTTGCAAGCATGAAAATGCGAACATCATGAAGAAATAGGGTCAAATAACAGGGAACTGCTGAGTTTGTGTGTGAAATCTGTGGTGTAAATCCAGTTGCACTCTTAGTAATTGTGAAACTTGGCAGATTACTTCCTCTGTCAGGGCCATAATTTCCTCTTGATTTGCAGGACGATGATATTCATCCAAAAGTAATGATGATGATTTCAGAGCTGATAAAATGACAGCTTTTAGGGGCTCATCAAATAGCAGCCATTGTAATCCATCTGAGTAACATCTGGGGCACAGAGTTTCTCCCCCACCCCACACTAAGAGGGTCGGCCCATAATTTCACCATTTTCTCCATTGGCCTTTCCCCACCTGTCACTGCACAATCATCCTTCCTTGTTGTATCAACATGTTTAAACCAATAGTTTAGATATTATTGAACTCATGGTATCTTCTGAGGTCCTTGTAGTGTTGTTGACTGGGTGGGTGGAGAGAGCCTTGCCCTGCTGAGGAAGCACTGGTTGGGCACACATTTCTGGTGATATCCATCTGCCTGAGCTCAAATTCAGCTCTCTCTAACCGTGAGTTTTGAACAAGTAATGTAGCCAGTTTAAGTCTTCATCTACTCATCTGTATGATGGTTATACTAATTATAACTAACATGATTCCATATTTACAAATTTGCAGAGTATGTATAGTGCTTTATGCATATTCACATGTGCTTCCTGAAGAGCCACATGAGAGGAGCTGTGGCGAGGGTTAAAATAGGAGCTCTTGGCACATACATGTTCATAAGTAGTAATTATGATTATTATGCACATTGTTCTTGATCTGAACTTGAGCTTCTATAATGCACAGTCCATGATAGAGTCCCAGAACACAGGACAGAGGCTGGTGAACACTGAGAGTTCCCATGTGTTAAAGACACGCAGTTCAGTCTAAAAGATTTCCATGTCTATTTTCATCTGATCCTCGCCTAAAAACCAGTTTCAACAGAAAATCACCTCATTCTGTAGAGGAGGAACCTGTAGTTTGAAGAGATGTCACTGACTAAAAACATCCATACTGGGCAGGTTTTGAGAGAAGACCAGAATACAGATTGACCTAACTTCTGAGCCCAGCATTACACTATAAAAATGACCCTCAACTTGGGGGGGTGATTTCTCCCCCAGCGGCATTTGACACTTTGGGTTGTTACCATTAGAAGGGGTGGCTACTGGGATCTAGCAGAAGGAGGCCAGAGATGCAGATGAACATCCTACAATGTACAGGACAGTACCCCACAACAAAGAATTATCCACCCAAATGTCAATGTTGCCAAGGTTGAGAAACCCTGTGCTCCATTAAGCAATATCCCCTAGATGGCTGGCTGAAAGTGACTGGCACAGACAGGAAGAAAAGAACAAAAGAAAGAAGAGGAAAAAAATGAGGCAAACTGTCATACTAAGGTATGATTGTCTCCACGTAGTCCTGGGGGAACCTGGCAGCACTTCACGAGGACTAACGCAGTGACTCTGGGATCGGTTCAATCTGGCTTCCAAGCTTACTATCTCTGCTGACTGGCTGGGCTCACCATGGTGAACAAAGTGCTGCAAGCCCTGGACCATAGTTTCCCTTTGGCAAAAAAGGGATGGTAGTGGATGTCTTGCAAATATTATTACACGTATTAAACGTACATAAGTGTTCAAAAATTGCTATTTCTCTGCAAGAGGCAGAAGAGCCTAGGCTCAGATGATTCTTAAATTTTGAGGCCATAGAAAATTACCCCAGATTTTATGCAAAGAGATTCTAGGATAGAGTTGAATGTGCATTGTAACAGCCACCCTGGATGTTTGTGATAAAACTCACAGACTGCATATGAGGAAATCTGGTCCAGTGGAACGGGCAAGTGGGTCACACAGACATTGGGTTGAACCGAAAGGCAGCAATTCCAGGTGTGACTTGGTCCAGAGGCAAACAATACTACATTTTTGTGGATTTTGCTTAAAAGTAAACAAATTTGTGACAAAAGCTCACATAGATATCTTCCCCTAGTTTTATTGTCCAGGACTTAGCCACATCCCACTGCTAAAACAGTCCTTTTCAAAGCCAGCAAATGCCATCTTCCAGTGAGACTAATCAGGATTTGCCTCAACAGATGGGGAGGATCATCTTTCCTTAAAAGTAAATAACCATACAAAATTGAGTTTGATTGGAAGAGAATGGGGGGATAGGTGTTGGGCAGGAATCCAGCAATGTCTGTCAGAGTTGTGTAGTGGAAGAAGGATTTGGAAGTCAGGTCAAGCTGGATGGAAGTATTTCCTCTACCATGTACCACCTAACTAACCTTCAAGGTCTCATAATTGCTCTGAATATCTATTTATTCTTATAAAAAGTAAAAATAATAACAATTATAAAGTATGTAGGTCAAACTAAATATATATATATATATAAACATATGTGTACACACACATATATAATATGATCCCCACTTAATATGCATGATCTCTAAAAATAATCCCACAAACATTGACTAACCTATTACTCTCATATTCTCTATGCCACAGAGGCTAAAAGCTATACCATGTGTAAAATTCTTTATATCCCAAACATAAAAGAGCTCCATATCAAATACAGACAATGCAAAACAGGGCTGAATGTAGAAAAGGGGCCTCTTCACTTACCTCTTCTAGTACAAACTCTACAGGATATGTATATTACTACATATTACCACTAACTGTTCAAGATCCTCTTCAGCTATAAACTCAAACCACACTCTAAAACTTTAAAGACTATTCAACCAATAGGGCAAGAGTTCTCACCGAGGGGGAGAACAGGAGCTGGGCAGGATTCTGCAAGAACCTGGGGTGGCAGAGGTGGCAGAGATGGCCAGCATCTATGCATCGAGGCATGGGTGGAAGGAGATGTGAACCTACTGACTTTGATCTCGTGCCTCCCTCACTGTGCTGAATGCCTCCCAGCAATTTGCTGGTGTTTATACACCCCCAGCTCAGAATTCTGCTGATGGACAGGAGCCTTGTAACCCTCTTGGTTAGGGAATCAGCCTAATAGATGGAATGCATATTAATAATTAAGGAAATATGGAGAACTGTCCCCTTCCAAAGGAACAGCCAAGATTTTGCCAAATGTATAGTGACCAGCCACAAGGTTCAGTAGCATGGGTATCCCGTTTAGAAAGGAAGCTACATGTAGTGGATGTTGATGCTGGTCTGAACAGAAATGCTGTAGGATGGTTTCATAGCTGACAAATTCTCGTTGCTGAAATCTTCAGGTGTGGACAAGATGGAAATTGACTACATCGCTCTGGATATCTTCACATTGGTAGTACAAGGAATCACCTCTCTCCTTGGCATCCTGGGCAACGGGCTTGTGATCTGGGTGGCTGGATTCCGGATGGCACGCACAGTCACCACTGTGTGTTACCTGAACCTGGCCTTAGCCGACTTCTTCTTCACTGCCACTCTACCATTGTTCATGGTTGTATATGTCATGAAAGCACAATGGCCTTTTGGTCCATTCCTATGCAAGTTTATTAATACCTTCGGGGACACAAACCTGTTTGGAAGTGTCTTCCTCATTGCATTCATTGCTCTGGACCGCTGTATTTGTGTCCGGTGTCCAGTCTGGGCCCAGAACCACCGCACTGTAAGTCTGGCTAAAAAACTAATCATTGTACCCTGGATTCTTGCACTACTCCTTAACTTGCCAGTTCTCATCTTCACTACTACACAGACTCATGATGACAATAAAGTGTACTGTGTTCTAGATGTTGAATTCGGGGGAAACATCACTGAAGAAGAGAAGATACAAAAGATATTAACCATGTCAAAAATCATAGCAATCAACCGCTTTGTCGTTGGTTTCACATTTCCAATGTCCATCATCGCTATTTGCTACGGGCTCATTATTGCCAAAATATGCAAAAACGTAAGGAATAATTCCACACGTCCCTTACGGGTCCTCACAGGTGTGATGGTCTCCTTCTTTATTTGCTGGTTCCCCTTTCAACTGTGTCTTCTTCTGTCGGCACTTTGGGCCAGAGAAATACTGTTTGAAGGAAAGTACGAAATACTTACTCACCTAAGGCACATAACAGGTCAACTAGCCTTCTTCAACAGCTGCCTCAACCCAATGCTCTACGTCTTCGTGGGCCAAGACTTCCGAGAGAAGCTGATCCAGTCCCTGCCGGCCAGTCTGGAGAGGGCCCTGACTGAAGACTCTGCTCCAACCAGTGATGCAAACACCAGCCCTGCTTCAGACTCTACAGAGGTCAAGGAGCAGGAGTTGTAAGGTGATTCGTGGCATTTTTGAGTCCTGCCTACACCTGCCCTGCTCCCCGTTCCAGCTTCATCTTACCTTGGGACATACTGAGTGTTAGGTAAATTTTCTTTGGCCAGAAGACCCTCCAAAGAGGCTGAGGGCCCCATCATTACATTCAGAGTTTGTTAAGGGAATGTACACACAAGCCTCAGATTGGACAGTAGCTACATGACACGGGTATCTTCCGTGCCACATGGAAGCCACTCAGGAGTTTATAGGACAGTGCAGGACGGATGGGGGTACTGGGGAATGACCCACCTCAGTAAGGAGACACTGCCTTACATTTGTCCAGGCCTCTGTGAGGTCCCAGTCCAGGAACCAGCGCGTCAGGGGCACAGGGCATGGGCCGGCAGGTCTCTGAGGGGATTTAGGGGAAGCAGTCTTCGTTCTGGCCTGAATCTACCTGGATCTAGCTACACAACCTGGCTGCGGTCACATCAGCGAGCAGTTTCTTCTTCACGCTGAACTGCTCATCATAAAAAATACTAGGGTACCCCTGATTTACGGGGAAGAAACAGACCCCACGGTACTACTGGTGTCATTTCTGCCTTTGGCACCTCGGCCCACATACCCTGGGATGAGTGGAGGTTGGAAAGAGTACAAGAGAAGAAACAGTGATGGAGAATCCTAAAGTCTAGATGGGAGAGTATACTAAGGGGGAAATGTTGGTATTTCACCATGAAGTAAGATGTTTGCTGTAGATTGTTTTATATGCCCATGGAAGTTTCTTTCCTAATTTACTACGTTTTCTTCCCTTCTTAATCACAGATAGCTACGGGATTGTATCAAATGCACGTTCTGCTTATAGTAAGAAGATCATATTATTTTTATCATTTTATATACATCATCATGAATTGTATTCTTTCTGGAATGTTAAACTACCATTGTATTCCTAGAATAAAACACACTGGTTCATGATGTGTTTCATGTACTTCTAATTCATCTCACTAGATTGGTTTTGAATTTCTCCATCTGTATTTATCTAAGAATGGGTGTGTTCTCTTTCTTTCCTCTACTACCTGTGTCAAGTTTTACATCAAAAGATGTGAAGAGAGCTGGGAAGTGAGCCCTCCAATTCCATTCTCTGGTGTTATACCTTTTATAAATGTTTGGAGAATTTCACCAGTGAAGCCAGTGGGCGTTGGGCTTTCTTTACAAGAACACTTCTAAAAGGATTCGGTTTCTTTAATAATTGTCAGACTATTCAGACTTCCTATTTCCTCTTCTGTCAGTTTTGGTAACCGGTGGCTTTCAAGGAATTTAGCCATTTTATCTAAACTCTCAAACACATTGGTGTGAAAGAGTGTGATAGCTGTATACAGTTCTTGGTACAGCTATCTTTACATACTCAGAATGGAATCTGTACGAGGCCGGGTTTGGCCTTTATTGTTCATGAATGATCCTGATTCTCTATGTGCAAAATAGTGCCTGGCATGTGACACACACTCGATAAGCAGTTACTGAACTTATGGATCAATGAAACATAGTATCACGCAGGTGTCAATTGAAAACCTTTAATGTCTACATAAAATGAACTCTGAACTAATCATGAAGTGGGCTGTGCTTATTGAACCCCCAGTACTAGTCTCAAAATTTACAAATCTGCATCTGGTTTATATGTTTAGGGACACCTCAGTTCTGACTTTCTGTTTCAAATACAATACGCCAGCTAACTGTTGACTGATGGTTTGTTTTGAATAAATCAATCTGCAATAGCACTCAGCCTTTTTTCTTGGTTTCTGCAAATGACCAGTCACACATTGTCATCTAACGTGTAACATGACATCCAGCTACATTTGGGAAAAATGAACATAAAATAATAAATCAGCCTCCCCCACGGCCCCATCCCGTACCCTGGCCCGCAACCCAGGCATGTGCCCTGACTGGAATTCGAACCAGTGGCTTTTAGGTTCTCATGCGGGCACTCAACCCACTGAGCCATGCAAGCCAGGGTGAGTTGTATTCTTAATGATGAACTGTGAGAATTCATTAAATTCCTTCCTGGGTTCTGTGAGTAATGCCAGCAAATCATCCTACTTGAGGAGGGTGCCAGGGGAACCTCTGATTCACAGCTGGTCAGACTACAGTTGACAAGCCGGGCCCCCCAAACGGCATCTGAAGTGGGGGGAGGTGGCATTGGAGCACTGAGACCTTTACCTCGTGGGAGCTGACCATGTCTCCAGATAGACAGTGTCAGATTGAACTGAATGGCAGAACACCCAGGTCAGGCCCACAGAGAATCGGAAGATGTCTTGGTGTATAACAAACATACATATAGTGTCATGAAGTGTTGTTTCAGTGCAGAAACAAGTCTTTTTTCAGCCATGATCTGCTTGTCATTGCTCGCCTCCAAATCCTCTCACCTCAGTAATTGCTTCTCTCATTATCCTGGATCTCAGAAGGAGAAAGGGCCTGGGTACCCAGCGCCCTTGACCCTTGCAATTTGGAGGACACAGCTCCTGTCTCCAACAGAAGGTGGGAGGTGAGGGAAATCTTCAGACACCAAGGTTCTAAAAAGAGTAAGCTGACCACAGATCCAGAGTGTTTCATGGAAACTGTGAGAAGCTCTGACTCCCTTGATTGGTTGAGTCCCATGGCCCCTCCCCCCTTGGCCTTCATAAAGCATCTGCTGAAGCCCTTCCAGCCTGAGCTACTTCAGAGGAAGCCAGGAACTGGCCACAGGAACAGGATCTCAGCTGGTGGTAAGTTCCAAGCCTGGCAATTTTAAAATGATCACTTGATCATCTCCTATGTGGCAGAAATCTCCTGAGCTCTCGAGCTGGGCCGGGCAATAAGAACCCACTTGCCACATATGGTTACTGAGCTCTTGCGAGTCTGACCTCAGAGGTGCTATAGTCAGAAGTATATTTAGAATATTCAAAGACAGAGTGAAAAAAGAATGCTAAAACATCTCACTGAGAATTCTTAGGTGGGTTATGTGCAAATGATATTCTTTATTTCTTGACTTAAATAAAATACATTATTAAAGTTAAGTAGTATTTTATCAAAATTAATTTCTTACACTTTATAAATCGTAAGTCACAGGTGAGGCTCATATTCGTGGCTCTAGTGGTCAGTATTACTATGAGGATACTGTACTATGAGGATAGAGCACTGTAAAGACGACGTAGTCTTCTGTGGCTTACAGACTAATGTGGAGGGGACGTAGAATAAAACAAACGAATGAACAAATAAGCAAGAACAGCACCTGGTGACATGGGCTCTTCCCGAGTGGCAGCTACGGCCTCTCTGAGGGTATAGTATCTAGGCTGAGACAGGAATATTCCGAAAGAACCAGCCGTGGGAAGCTTGAAAGGAACAGCAGACTAGGCAAAGGAACAGAGATGCAAAAGCCCTCAGGTGGCAATGAGGTTGGCCCGTTCAAGGAACTGAAAGAATCCGGTGTGGATCCATCACAGTGTGTGAGAGGACATTGAATGTGTGAGTTGGAGGGGCATGCAGGGCAGATCCAGGAGGGCTTGGTAAGCTCGGGGAGGAGCTGGGAAGCCACTGGAAGGTGTTGAGCAGGGTGATGCCATGGTACGATTAGTGTTTCTAAATCATCGTTTGGCTTATGTCTGGACAATGGATCGGGATGGGGGCAGCATCAGTGGCAGGAATGAGCTATTTGCAAGGTGACTGCAAATAAGCAGCCAGACAAGGACCACGGACAGGAGTGGTGGTGATAAAAATTACTCCATGTGTGGACTCAGTCACGTTCGCGGTACCGCAATGCACTTGGATTCGATGGTCACGGAAAGGGAATTCAAGGATGAGCTGGACTTGGGAATCTGACAACGGAGGGCTAAGTTCCAAACAGGCACAGAATATTGAGAGTGGCAGAGCTGGGAGGGAGGGAAAATTAATTAAGAGTTTGGTTTAGGTAATGCTAGGTTGGGGAGAGAAACTGCAATGAGATGAGGAGGACTACAGAGCTCCAATGACAACCAAGAGCCTACTGTGCGTACATTTTATCATCTAAAGGCAGAATAAAATGTTTCTAGAGAAAGGAAGAGGTTTACAGGCCCGACGTCACTGAACTGCGGTAAGAACGGAAAAGGCACCCTGGAGCAGCGACGTAGAGGCTATCTGTGTCCTTTAGGGGAGCACAGCCCATTGGGTGCTCAGGACCCACGTCAGCCTGCACTGCGTTTAGGAGAAAAGGTGAGGTGACAGGTGGAGACAATGCCTTCTAGCTTTTGCTGTGAATCCCCTTCGCTGAGAGAATTTCCTTGCGAGAATGCAGCTGAAGCTGAAAAGGAACATGGGCCCAGGACGGTTTCCTTGTGAAGGGAGGGGAGATGATCATGTCTGTGTGACAGGATCCTCTAGTAGAAAGACAATCCTGGGGGTGCTTTGGCAGAAAAGAAAAGTGATCCCACAGGAGAAAAATTCTTGGGAAGGTGAGGGAGAGAGGGATCCAGAGCAAACGTGACGGGGGAAGGACCAAGGACTCTGGGTTCACCGTAACAGGTGCAGAGAAATGGGAGGGCAGGGCAGAGAGAAAGTTACAAGGTTCACACACAATTATTACTATTTCCTCATTAAAATATGAGATAGGGGCATCGGCTGAGAGCAGGAATGGGGAGGAGGTTAAGAATTTGGAGGAGAAAGCAGAACTGAAACAATTGCTTGAAAGCATGAAAATGTGAACATCGTGAAGAAAGGGAGTAAAATAGCAGTACACTGTGGAGGTTCGCTGTGAAATCTGTGGTGTAAATCCAGTTGCAGCCTTAGTAATTGCGACACGGGGCAGGTCACTTTCTCTGCCAGGACCATGGATGATGATATTTATCAAAACCCAGATGTTGTCATTGGAGATGGTAAATTGTACCGTGACCGGCACCTTTTGTGAGTCACCAAATTGCAGGCATCCTAATCCATCCGAGTACCACCTGGGGCACACAGGTTCTCCCCAACCCTGCACTGAGAGATTGGGCCCCCAATTTCACAACTTTGCCTCCCTGGCCTTTCCCCACCTGTGACTGCACAATCATCCTTCCTTGTTGTGTTAACACGTTTAAACCCGTAATTTAGAGCTCACCGAGCTCATCATACCTCCTGAGGTCCCTGTAGGGTGCTGAGTGGGTGGGTAGAGAGAACCTGCCCCTGCTGAGGAAGTTTTGGGTGGGAGAAAGTTAAGAGCACTTTCCTGGTGGAATCCACCTAGCCGAGCTCAAATGTGGGCCCTACCTCTGTCTAACTGGGGGCTTTAAGCAATTAATGTAACCAGTTTAAGTCTTCGCGTCCTCATCTGCACAATGGTTATATTAATTAGAACTGACATCATCCATATATACAATTTCACAGAGAATGCCTAGTGCTTTACGTATTTTCACACATGCAGTTCTCAAGAGCCGTAAGAGTAGAGTTGCGATGAGGCTTCAAAGACGAGCTCTTGGCACATACGAAACGTTCATAAGTGGTAGGGATGATTGTCATAAGAGTTGCTCTTGACCTGAACTTGAGCTTCCACACTGTATAAACCAGGACTGACTCCCAGGACACAGGACAGAGCCCGGGGAGCACCGAGAGTTCCCATGTCTTAAAGGCAGCCCGTTCAGCCTAAAAGACTTCCAAGTCTATCTTCATCTAACTCTCACCTAACAACCAGCGTTCACCCCACGTCACGTCATTCTGTAGAGGAGGACGCTGAAATTCAAAGCCATATCGCTATCACTGGGCCGGTGTCAGTGAGGAGATTAGAATACAGATTGGCCTAACTCCTGAGCCCAGCACTCCACACCACAACAGTGACTCTCAACTGGGTACCTTTCCCCCATGGGACACTTCACAGAGTTCGTAGAGACTTTTGGTTGTCACAACAGAAGGATGCTGGTAAGGGCATGCAGCAGATGGAGGCCAGGAATGCTTCAGGACACCCTACAACGTACAAGACAGTGCCCCACTACCAAGAATCAGTCCTGTATGAAGCTGGATTGAAGTCTTTCCTTTACCACTTACTTCCTTTGTGACTTCTGCAGGTCTTATATTGGCTCAGAATGAAAAATTATTCTTTTTTTAAAGATTTTACTTAAATTGTTTTTAGAGAGAAGGGAAGGGATGGAGAAACATCGAAGTGCACAAGGAACATTGATCAGTTTCCTTCTGCTCACCTCCAACCAGGGCCCTGGCCCACAACCCAGGCATGCACTCTGACTGAGAATCCAACAGGCAACCTCTCGGTTTGCAGACTGGCGCTCAATCCCCTGAGCCACACCAGCCAGGGAAAGGTCAACTTATTCTTATGAGAACCTGGAAACAGTAGACATTCCTCAGCTGTATGTAGGTCAAACCGAATGCAGGCATATGTAACTGGACCCATGCTTAAAATTAATGCACGGTCTCTCATGATAACCACACAAATATTGACTACCTCGACTCATCTTGTTTCTTTATGCCACAGACACTACAGCTCTACAATGGATGAAAATTCTTTGCATCCCAAACAGAGCCATCACACAGACACAATGAAAAACAGAGGGCTGAATGTAGAAAAGGGTCCCCTTTGCAGACCTGCCGCAGCACAGACACAACGAGGTGTAACATAGTCCTTCATATTACCGGTAACCGTTCAGGATGCTCTTTAAGTATATACCTAACCCACACTCTGAGACCAGCAACACAGACATACATGCACTCCCCAAGGGCCACGTGAGAGGCGTGCGGTGAGACAAACAGCACAATCGGTCAAGGGTTCTCACAGAGGGAAAGGACAGGAGCTGGGCAGGATCCTGTGAGAACCTGAGGCCGGCAGAGGTGGCAGAGATGGCCAGCATCTATGCATCGAGTCGTGGGCGGAAGGAGATGTGAACCTACTGACTCTGATCTCGTCCCTCCCTCCCTCTGTTGAAGGTGCTTCCCATCCATTTGCTGGTGTTTGCACACCCTCAGCTCAGGATCCCGCTGGTGGACAGGAGTCTTGTAACCCTCTTGGTTAAGTAGTCAGCCCAATAGGTGGAATGCACATTAATAATTATGGAAGTATGGACAGCTGTCTTTTCTCAGAGGACTAGCCATAGTTTGCCAAACGCATAGTGACTGACCACAAGGTTCAGTAGAGTGGCTATCCCGTTCGGCGAGGAAGCTAGATCTAGTGGATGCTGATGTTGGTCTGAACAGAAATGGTATAGCATGGTTTCACAGCTGACAGATTCTTGTTGCTAAAATGTTTCAGGTGTGGACAACAAGATGGAAAACAACTCCTTCATCTCTCAGAATGCATCTCATCAGGCACTCTTTGAGTCTCCTCTGCTCTTTCCTCTCCAAATCACTTCATTGGTGGTTCATGGGATCACCTTTGTCCTCGGCATCCTGGGCAACGGGCTTGTGATCTGGGTGGCTGGATTTCGGATGGCACGCACAGTCACCACCGTGTGTTACCTGAACCTGGCCTTAGCCGACTTCTCTTTCATTGCCACTCTACCCTTCCTCATGGTCTCAATGGCCATGAAAGAACAGTGGCCTTTTGGTTGGTTCCTGTGCAAGTTAGTTTACATCATCATGGATATCAACCTGTTTGGAAGTGTCTTCCTCATTGCCTTCATTGCTCTGGACCGCTGTATTTGTGTCCGGCATCCAGTCTGGGCCCAGAACCACCGCACTGTCAGCCTGGCTACAAAAGTAATCGTTGTGCCCTGGATTCTTGCAGTAGCCCTTACCTCGCAAATTATCCTCTTCATGACTACAGTAAGGGATGGAAGAGGGAATACATACTGTACGTTCAACTTTGCACCCTGGGGTGACACCCCTGAAGAGATTGTGAAGGTGGCTATCACTGTGCTGACAGCCAGAGGGATCATCCGGTTTATTGTTGGCTTCACCATGCCAATGTCCATCATAGCTATCTGCTATGCGGTCATTGCTGCCAAAATCCAAAAAAAAGGCATGATGAACTCCAGCCGTCCCTTACGGATCCTCACTGCTGTTGTGGCGTCCTTCTTTATTTGCTGGTTCCCTTTCCAACTGAATGCGCTTCTGAGAACTGTTTGGCTCAGAGAGGTAATGTTGGAGGGTAAATACAAAATCATTACTCTCTTGATATTCCCAGTGAGGTCCTTGGCATTCTTCAACAGCTGCCTCAACCCAATGCTCTACGTCTTCGTGGGCCAAGACTTCCGAGAGAAGCTGATCCAGTCCCTGCCGGCCAGTCTGGAGAGGGCCCTGACTGAAGACTCTGCTCCAACCAGTGATGCAAACACCAGACCTGCTTCAGCCTCTATAGAGGTCGAGGAGCAGGAGTTGTGAGGTGATTCGTAGCAGTTTTGAGTCCTGCCTACACCTGCCCTGCTCCCCGTTCCAGCTTCATCTTACCTTGGGACATACTGAGTGTTAGGTAAATTTTCTTTGGCCAGAAGACCCTCCAAAGAGGCTGAGGGCCCCATCATTACATTCAGAGTTTGTTAAGGGAATGTACACACAAGCCTCAGATTGGACAGTAGCTACATGACACGGGTATCTTCCGTGCCACATGGAAGCCACTCAGGAGTTTATAGGACAGTGCAGGACGGATGGGGGTACTGGGGAATGACCCACCTCAGTAAGGAGACACTGCCTTACATTTGTCCAGGCCTCTGTGAGGTCCCAGTCCAGGAACCAGCGCGTCAGGGGCACAGGGCATGGGCCGGCAGGTCTCTGAGGGGATTTAGGGGAAGCAGTCTTCGTTCTGGCCTGAATCTACCTGGATCTAGCTACACAACCTGGCTGCGGTCACATCAGCGAGCAGTTTCTTCTTCACGCTGAACTGCTCATCATAAAAAATACTAGGGTACCCCTGATTTACGGGGAAGAAACAGACCCCACGGTACTACTGGTGTCATTTCTGCCTTTGGCACCTCGGCCCACATACCCTGGGATGAGTGGAGGTTGGGAAGAGTACAAGAGAAGAAACAGTGATGGGGAATCCTAAAGTTTAGATGGGAGAGTATACTAAGGGGGAAATGTTGGTATTTCACCATGAAGTAAGATGTTTGCTGTAGATTGTTTTATATGCCCATGGAAGTTTCTTTCCTAATTTACTACGTTTTCTTCCCTTCTTAATCACAGATAGCTACGGGATTGTATCAAATGCACGTTCTGCTTATAGTAAGAAGATCATATTATTTTTATCATTTTATATACATCATCATGAATTGTATTCTTTCTGGAATGTTAAACTACCATTGTATTCCTAGAATAAAACACACTGGTTCATGATGTGTTTCATGTACTTCTAATTCATCTCACTAGATTGGTTTTGAATTTCTCCATCTGTATTTATCTAAGAATGGGTGTGTTCTCTTTCTTTCCTCTACTACCTGTGTCAAGTTTTACATCAAAAGATGTGAAGAGAGCTGGGAAGTGAGCCCTCCAATTCCATTCTCTGGTGTTATACCTTTTATAAATGTTTGGAGAATTTCACCAGTGAAGCCAGTGGGCGTTGGGCTTTCTTTACAAGAACACTTCTAAAAGGATTCGGTTTCTTTAATAATTGTCAGACTATTCAGACTTCCTATTTCCTCTTCTGTCAGTTTTGGTAACCGGTGGCTTTCAAGGAATTTAGCCATTTTATCTAAACTCTCAAACACATTGGTGTGAAAGAGTGTGATAGCTGTATACAGTTCTTGGTACAGCTATCTTTACATACTCAGAATGGAATCTGTACGAGGCCGGGTTTGGCCTTTATTGTTCATGAATGATCCTGATTCTCTATGTGCAAAATAGTGCCTGGCATGTGACACACACTCGATAAGCAGTTACTGAACTTATGGATCAATGAAACATAGTATCACGCAGGTGTCAATTGAAAACCTTTAATGTCTACATAAAATGAACTCTGAACTAATCATGAAGTGGGCTGTGCTTATTGAACCCCCAGTACTAGTCTCAAAATTTACAAATCTGCATCTGGTTTATATGTTTAGGGACACCTCAGTTCTGACTTTCTGTTTCAAATACAATACGCCAGCTAACTGTTGACTGATGGTTTGTTTTGAATAAATCAATCTGCAATAGCACTCAGCCTTTTTTCTTGGTTTCTGCAAATGACCAGTCACACATTGTCATCTAACGTGTAACATGACATCCAGCTACATTTGGGAAAAATGAACATAAAATAATAAATCAGCCTCCCCCACGGCCCCATCCCGTACCCTGGCCCGCAACCCAGGCATGTGCCCTGACTGGAATTCGAACCAGTGGCTTTTAGGTTCTCATGCGGGCACTCAACCCACTGAGCCATGCAAGCCAGGGTGAGTTGTATTCTTAATGATGAACTGTGAGAATTCATTAAATTCCTTCCTGGGTTCTGTGAGTAATGCCAGCAAATCATCCTACTTGAGGAGGGTGCCAGGGGAACCTCTGATTCACAGCTGGTCAGACTACAGTTGACAAGCCGGGCCCCCCAAACGGCATCTGAAGTGGGGGGAGGTGGCATTGGAGCACTGAGACCTTTACCTCGTGGGAGCTGACCATGTCTCCAGATAGACAGTGTCAGATTGAACTGAATGGCAGAACACCCAGGTCAGGCCCACAGAGAATCGGAAGATGTCTTGGTGTATAACAAACATACATATAGTGTCATGAAGTGTTGTTTCAGTGCAGAAACAAGTCTTTTTTCAGCCATGATCTGCTTGTCATTGCTCGCCTCCAAATCCTCTCACCTCAGTAATTGCTTCTCTCATTATCCTGGATCTCAGAAGGAGAAAGGGCCTGGGTACCCAGCGCCCTTGACCCTTGCAATTTGGAGGACACAGCTCCTGTCTCCAACAGAAGGTGGGAGGTGAGGGAAATCTTCAGACACCAAGGTTCTAAAAAGAGTAAGCTGACCACAGATCCAGAGTGTTTCATGGAAACTGTGAGAAGCTCTGACTCCCTTGATTGGTTGAGTCCCATGGCCCCTCCCCCTTGGCCTTCATAAAGCATCTGCTGAAGCCCTTCCAGCCTGAGCTACTTCAGAGGAAGCCAGGAACTGGCCACAGGAACAGGATCTCAGCTGGTGGTAAGTTCCAAGCCTGGCAATTTTAAAATGATCACTTGATCATCTCCTATGTGGCAGAAATCTCCTGAGCTCTCGAGCTGGGCCGGGCAATAAGAACCCACTTGCCACATATGGTTACTGAGCTCTTGCGAGTCTGACCTCAGAGGTGCTATAGTCAGAAGTATATTTAGAATATTCAAAGACAGAGTGAAAAAAGAATGCTAAAACATCTCACTGAGAATTCTTAGGTGGGTTATGTGCAAATGATATTCTTTATTTCTTGACTTAAATAAAATACATTATTAAAGTTAAGTAGTATTTTATCAAAATTAATTTCTTACACTTTATAAATCGTAAGTCACAGGTGAGGCTCATATTCGTGGCTCTAGTGGTCAGTATTACTATGAGGATACTGTACTATGAGGATAGAGCACTGTAAAGACGACGTAGTCTTCTGTGGCTTACAGACTAATGTGGAGGGGACGTAGAATAAAACAAACGAATGAACAAATAAGCAAGAACAGCACCTGGTGACATGGGCTCTTCCCGAGTGGCAGCTACGGCCTCTCTGAGGGTATAGTATCTAGGCTGAGACAGGAATATTCCGAAAGAACCAGCCGTGGGAAGCTTGAAAGGAACAGCAGACTAGGCAAAGGAACAGAGATGCAAAAGCCCTCAGGTGGCAATGAGGTTGGCCCGTTCAAGGAACTGAAAGAATCCGGTGTGGATCCATCACAGTGTGTGAGAGGACATTGAATGTGTGAGTTGGAGGGGCATGCAGGGCAGATCCAGGAGGGCTTGGTAAGCTCGGGGAGGAGCTGGGAAGCCACTGGAAGGTGTTGAGCAGGGTGATGCCATGGTACGATTAGTGTTTCTAAATCATCGTTTGGCTTATGTCTGGACAATGGATCGGGATGGGGGCAGCATCAGTGGCAGGAATGAGCTATTTGCAAGGTGACTGCAAATAAGCAGCCAGACAAGGACCACGGACAGGAGTGGTGGGGATAAAAATTACTCCATGTGTGGACTCAGTCACGTTCGCGGTACCGCAATGCACTTGGATTCGATGGTCACGGAAAGGGAATTCAAGGATGAGCTGGACTTTGGGAATCTGACAACGGAGGGCTAAGTTCCAAACAGGCACAGAATATTGAGAGTGGCAGAGCTGGGAGGGAGGGAAAATTAATTAAGAGTTTGGTTTAGGTAATGCTAGGTTGGGGAGAGAAACTGCAATGAGATGAGGAGGACTACAGAGCTCCAATGACAACCAAGAGCCTACTGTGCGTACATTTTATCATCTAAAGGCAGAATAAAATGTTTCTAGAGAAAGGAAGAGGTTTACAGGCCCGACGTCACTGAACTGCGGTAAGAACGGAAAAGGCACCCTGGAGCAGCGACGTAGAGGCTATCTGTGTCCTTTAGGGGAGCACAGCCCATTGGGTGCTCAGGACCCACGTCAGCCTGCACTGCGTTTAGGAGAAAAGGTGAGGTGACAGGTGGAGACAATGCCTTCTAGCTTTTGCTGTGAATCCCCTTCGCTGAGAGAATTTCCTTGCGAGAATGCAGCTGAAGCTGAAAAGGAACATGGGCCCAGGACGGTTTCCTTGTGAAGGGAGGGGAGATGATCATGTCTGTGTGACAGGATCCTCTAGTAGAAAGACAATCCTGGGGGTGCTTTGGCAGAAAAGAAAAGTGATCCCACAGGAGAAAAATTCTTGGGAAGGTGAGGGAGAGAGGGATCCAGAGCAAACGTGACGGGGGAAGGACCAAGGACTCTGGGTTCACCGTAACAGGTGCAGAGAAATGGGAGGGCAGGGCAGAGAGAAAGTTACAAGGTTCACACACAATTATTACTATTTCCTCATTAAAATATGAGATAGGGGCATCGGCTGAGAGCAGGAATGGGGAGGAGGTTAAGAATTTGGAGGAGAAAGCAGAACTGAAACAATTGCTTGAAAGCATGAAAATGTGAACATCGTGAAGAAAGGGAGTAAAATAGCAGTACACTGTGGAGGTTCGCTGTGAAATCTGGTGTGTAAATCCAGTTGCAGCCTTAGTAATTGCGACACGGGGCAGGTCACTTTCTCTGCCAGGACCATGGATGATGATATTTATCAAAACCCAGATGTTGTCATTGGAGATGGTAAATTGTACCGTGACCGGCACCTTTTGTGAGTCACCAAATTGCAGGCATCCTAATCCATCCGAGTACCACCTGGGGCACACAGGTTCTCCCCAACCCTGCACTGAGAGATTGGGCCCCCAATTTCACAACTTTGCCTCCCTGGCC